GCCAACAAGATACATCCGTCCAAAATGTGGATCATAAAGACCCTCCAGAAAAAGAACAGAAAAAATGCTATAATCTTTTCCAGTAATTGTTAGTTGAGCTGAGACATTCAAAAGGAGCTGTTTTTCAGTGGATTCAGCTTTAGTGTGGTAAGGTGTCTCCTCCTCTGTGGTGGTTACATTTGTTGAATACCAATAGTGGCCAAACAATGGACCAAGTGAGAAAATATCCATCTGAATATAGACTCTTGGGGGATGAGACTTTGGAAATGGATCAGGAACTGCAGAGATTTGAATGGTCAGATCTTCTGCAAGGAGAGACAGGCTGGATAGAAAGGCATCTGTGTCTTCTAGTTTAGGAAATTGCAGCAAGGATTTCTTTACTAGAGTTCCAAAACTGAAGGGCTCATTTTTTTCTAGGATTGCACCAGCTGATTGGATTTTTGAGTAACTATAATAGGGATGGGAGAATCTGAAATCGTTCCATAACTCTGAGGGCCTCACTAGCCTTTCAAATGATAATGGAAAGTACACCTTGTTACTTTTACCAATACTCGAAATACTCCCAACAATTATGCTTCGCTGCTTTATGGAGAATGAAAGAGGAATATACAAACAGATACGAGAGTTACAGCTACTCCCATCTACATCTACTATGCCAAGACAACCAACCATGCAAAGCTGCCCGCTAGAAGAATTCCACATTCCTTCAGCAGCTAGAGTCATGTTGCTAAGCCCAGACCTCCATCTCACTCTATACTGATCCTCTGATGCAGGAACAGCTCGAAAAACTGCAGCAACTCTCGCCGAACTAGCATTTTGATGCCCATGTGTTGGCTTGCACCTAACATCCTGCATGTAAAGTATGACATCCTTGAAGCTTCCATTTGTTGCTTTAATCTCTTTATCTGACACGAAAGGACCCATCTTGCAACAGTAGTCATCTGTGCCATTGCATTTCCAGTTTGGCACAATAGTGAAAGCTCCACTATTAGTAACTTGCTCAAGAATTGTGCAGAATTTATCTCCTTTGTAGATTTCGATGCCAGCATTCATCAAGCTATCTTGATATGGATAAGGATCACATGCCTTGGACACAATCTTTTCAGAGCCAAACTCATATTTTGTTGACTTGAGCATCTCGGCCAAAATGTGAACTTGATCAAAGTACTTAGCATTTGATTTTGGATTTAAACTTTTCATCTCCCCTCGTATCACCCTATTAGTCAATGTATGAGTCAATGGGTAATGAAGAACAAGTAATATCTGATCGTCTTGCAAAAGAAGTGCTTGGTTGTAATTCAGATCAGAACCCTTCAACCACTCCCATGGATTGTTTGAGTCAGACTCACGAGAAGGCAACATTGCATTCCCCAACATACACATAACTCTTTCCCCGCCATTCTGTTTGGTTTCAGTGTAAATCCCTTCAAATGAAATTGCAAGCTGAGTATGACTAGGCCATATCTGAAACCGAGGACTGCCCTCATATGGCCTCTCTGCAAATGAAGTATCTAGTGTTTTGCCCAACATCAAAATCCCACTGACACTTACAGCCTTCTTAGTCTGATGAAGGTGATCAACATCTGTGATCCAGAAAGAAACTATGTTCGAAGGAGCCTGTGACAAGTTCTTAGGGATATCTCTATCATCAAATGGCATAATGGGAGCATCCACTATATCCTGCCGCCAATTCCCATACCCGAAATTGAGCTCTTCTTTTATATCAGCTATCCTATTACCTTCAGCTTTAAATTCAGAAGCAGATGATAAAACGGATTTACAATGTTTCTTTACTTCACCAATTCGATCATAATTGTATTCCACTTCCGCAGAAGATTCCCTGTGAAACTCAAACTCAACTTCTGGGACATAATTTGTCAACCCCATGATAAACATCCCATTCAGTATATAAACAACAAAAGCTAGATATACACTCTTCATGATTCCAAATTTCAATATTCAATCACTTCTTTCAATATTTCTCAGCTGCCCACTTCCTAAAACCCACTAAAAATGAACACCCAATCTTTCAAACACTAATTAAAAGAAAAAAAAAAAGGATTGCAGCTTTACTGCTTCCCCATAGAAACTAAAACTGCAGTCGCTACTTGATTATTAATCCAAATTCCAACGCAAGAACGTCGGAGTCAAGCGTATGGCTCGGAAGGTTCTTTTGCAAATCCAATGAACTGAATTTAGTAGAAGAAAGACAAACCTGGAATGTTGGTTGTGCTGTTTAAGTGTCTGCGAAGATTGCTGGAAACTTGAGTCAGTGAGAACTCTGGATCTTGGAGAAAGCTTACAGTGGAAGACTTGGAAAGTAGAGGTAGCGTAAGGGGTCAATGTCTGGTTGTTTGCTTGTCTTTTTCTTGGATTAATTATAACCAAACTTAGGGGGTGGCGCGTCTGTTTAGTACGTCTACAATTGAACAGATAAGAAGAAAAGAGAAAGAAGCAGCAAGCAGTGAATACAAACGCATAAGAGAAATGGTATTCATCGTGAAGTCATCATTCATTTTCGTATACATAATAATTAGTTAACATTTCTCATAAAATTTCTCACTCCTCAGAGCCCAAGCCTTGTCTTTTGTCAAATTTATAATTTGAGGAGCAACACAAACTATTATTTTTTTTTCTTTTGTTGTTATTGAAAATGGTTGTTTAACTTGTGAAAGTGATTGATTCTGGGCAGAGTTCAAAAGCTTTCTTAATATTACGTTATTTTCAGAAAAAAAAAAAAGAATGTTTGTTCAAGTGACTGTGGGTGTAGAAATTCATCTTCTTCACAATATTTTATCTGTACAATGTGTCATTACTCAAAAACCTTCAAATCAGCACCAACAATAAACAGACATAGTAAAAGCACCATATTTTTTGTATTTATAAGTTGAACTTTATAATTTTAATTAATACTTTTTTTTATATAAAATAGAAAAATTTTATATAAGCTAAATGCTCAAATTGAGATTTGATGTTTGAACACTTTTTCAATTAAGAGTTTAACGTTTCAATTGTAACAATCAATTATAAAAAAACTTTGATTCCTTACAAGTAAGAGCTAAATTGATAAGTGAATTGAGTATATATATCATGCGATAAAAAATTATATTAAAAATGCAGTTGTTATATGTTATGTTGAAAATTTAGTTATTACATGTCATATTAAAAATTTAATTATTATATGTCATATTAATTGAAAAAATTATTGCACGTTATATCATAATTTGAATTATTTTAATTTGAAAAAAAAGACTTTCTGACAAAAGTATTTTTCATATTTTATCCTTTTAAGTCAGTGTTCATATCATGCACATGCTCTATACATGTCAAACACCTCTCATTTAACCCTTAATTGTAAAGAACAGAAAACCTTTAACATTTAATTGTTATAATAGAAACGTTTGATCATAAATTGATAAAAATTCAAAGATTTTGAACCCAAGTTGAACATTTAATCTTTTATATATGCATCTATTGCATTAGGGATATAGAAATATAAATATACATTTTTATATAAAAATATTGAAACTTTTCATTTAGAAAAAAATTAAAAAAGGTAAAAATTTAATGAGAAATATCAACTAATTATATGTCAAATGATAGGGTAATGAATAATAATTTGACTTAAAATGATTGAAAAAAGATATAAACTCATCAACTGTTTAGTCTAAGTTATAATTAATCCAATTCATGTAGAAATAGATTGCTTGAAACACGTTGTCAATGTAAAATTATTACATATAATTAAAGATATTGTTAATTATCTTGTCCCACTTCTTTCTAAATATGCTAATTTGAAGTTTTAGATTTACAATTTTCAAAGTCTCAAATTCAATTTTTTTTAAAAAATTACAAATATTATTTTGTAGAAAAACCTCATTTGCCTTCTTTAACTTTTGTTTTATGAAAAGTTGATGGAGAAATTGGGGTTGTCCAAGCAACTGTGTAAATACAGCAACCATGGAGCGCGTGGTTGCTTCTTAGAGGACAGTTTGGTCATTTTAAAGTTGGCATTTTAGATGTTTTATTCAAAGAGTAGGGGCAATTTAGTACATATAAGATGATAGGACACAACCTAGGAACCAATTTGTAGATTTATGAGAACCAACTTCATGTCCGCAAGTAGAACACAGCCAAGATACAGGAAATCATCCCTGCAGTTACTTCAATTACCTTCCAAACTGCTTGCTGCATCTGCTTTTGCAGGATACCTCTGAGGAAGAAAACAAAAAATGTAGCAGCAACCCAGCCTTCTTGCACTTGAAAATTTCTCCCTACCAAGCTCCCAATTCAATGACTTAAAAGGTCACAAATCTTCTTTCACAACTTTTCTTTAGGCAAATATCAACAAGCTACTTAATGAAGAGCACAGATTAGAGTATTGGTTTCAGCCAAAAACACAAAACTAAGAATGGAGTTTCACTTTCGAGCTTTGGTTTCCTTTGACTGGATCACTCCATCCTAATACTCCCATTCATCTGCATGGCTCTCTTCAGCCAACAAAGACTTCTCTAGCCCCAAGTGAACCTCCATCTTAGCTAAAACCACTCACTGAAAAGGCTAAGCAAAATGTCTCCAAATATAGCCTATGGATACATCCAGGCCTGTTTGCCAACAAAGCTATTAAGACTTGGTTGAAATCCCTGAATAATTCATTTCCTTTATCCCTCAGGTAAATCTTGTAGAATCTTATTCAACTTAGCTTGATTTCTAATGCCGCAGGAAGTTCCAGCACCACCATTAAGCAGAGTTTCACCACACTTTCTGACAGAAAGCTTAAAATTTTTTATCCATCATCTTTTTCTTTCAGTGGCAGAATATTCATTCTTGTCATTTGAAATTTGTAATCCACTTCTCACCCTTTCAATTTTTGGCAAATTTGACAACATAGAAGCAATACTCTGTTTAACTATGATTTCTATAATGCAAATGACAAACTTCACCTAAAATACAAGTTTGAAAATACCTGCCCTTGTAAGAAAGAGATTTACTATAGCTAGTTTGCCAAGAAAGATGATACATCAAACTTCAATTATTGTGGCAACAGAATAATACATTGCATAAAATGTACTGATAAGACTATGAACTAACTGCTAAGCCAGAATTGAATACATCCACGTGGATTATCTTCCATCATATGATTATGCTAGTGTACAAGTAATTAATCAGCATAAAAGATACACTAAGTCTTGTACATACAGACTCATTGACCAGTCTCCAGTATCCAACCGCAGCAAGGGCAGCTTTAAGGAATTGAACTAGTTTCATCATCAATGGCAGACCCAGACTTGAATTTGCTAAACATGGAACCAGAGCACTGCAACCTTCTTAGCTTCAGCAACAGAAACAGCAAAATCCCACATACAAACCCCAATGCAGAACTAGAACCAGTCAACGAAACAGCAGCACAAACCAACATAACAAAAGACTCCTCCTTAGAGTTCATATCCCTAGAAGCCATAGCCAACTCAATTCCAGCAAACAACAAAAGCACTCCAAGAATCCCAATAGGAAACTGACTCAAAATCCTGACAAAAGAGTTCCCAAACACCAAGCCAATCACCAACTTCCCAATCCCCAAAAAAACCACTGACCATCCACTCCTTGCTCCAAACCTATACTGTCCAGCTAACCCACCTGCACCATGACACACTGGCATTGCCCCAAACCAACACCCCACCAAATTCATAACTCCAACACTCACAGAAACCTTAGCAGCAGACAGTTCCCTGTCTGGAAACAAATCACCTGACAACTTGCAAACTGCAATAACTGAATTCAATATTGACAATGGGATTTGTGGTACAGCTCCTTTCAAAAACCCAACTTTCCAATCCTCCCAAGTAATACTCAAAAATCCTATCTTTGATGGACCAAACTTAATATCACTAAAAATTGTAGGATCACGTATAAAACATAAAACCAACCCAAACAAAAACACTATCAAAGCAGCTGGAATTGAACTCATAATTCTCGACCACTTTGAGCTTCTGCCACGTGACTCATTGTCATTAGATTCATCTCCAGTGTGATGATCACCAGATCCGGTGAAGATTACTAAGAAGAGGAGACTTGTGAGGGCCAAAACAAGACCATCAAGACCCAACCAAGCCCGTGGGGTGGTAGATTTAGAAGCTATAAAATCTTGGTTGTAACGGATATACTTAATTGCTGAGAAGGCAAAGGAGAGACCTTGAGAGAGCTGGACCCCACGGACAACAGGGAGAGGGAGGAGACGGTAAAGGGTCGACATCAGACCGGTAGCCCCAAGGAGGAGGAGGACGGCAGCGGTGGAAGCGCCGGCAGTGGCTATTTGAGAGGTGGTAAGGTGTGGGGTTTCGGAGACGGCGACGGCAGCAATGGATTTCATGGGTTGGACAGGCATGGGGATGTGGAAGAGTAGGCCTGTGGCTATGTTGTAAAGGGCAGTGAAGATGAGAGTTGTCGAGAGGTCTAAGTGGGAGACCAAGGTCAGGGTTAGGATTATTGGAATGAAAGTGCCCAAGTCTCCTACTGCTCCTGATAGTTCGGAGGAGAGGGTGTTTTTGATGTTGAAGTGGCGGCGCCACCATGGCTGGTGGTGGAGGAGGAGTGGAGCTGTGGTGGTGGACGAGGAGAACGGAGATTGTTGGTCCATGATTAGACTAGCACTGCGGTAAGCCTGGATTATGGGAAAATGGAGCAATGGCTTTTTTGGGCTATGACCAATTGGTGGGACCTAACCTTTAGCCAAATTCAATTTAATCTTTTCATCTAATTCAACACCCAAAATTTCAATATTCACTTAATTCAGGCATATGTAATGAGAAAAGTGTTTCTATCCTACATCGGATAGGAACGAAAAGTTCTGAGCTCTTTAAAAATGAGTGTGTTGCACATCTTCATAAACGTGTTTATGGGAAAAAGAGTAATGACCCGTGACTAGTGGTATCAGATCGGACCGGACCTCGTCTGACTCACGCCAAAGCGCTCGGGTCTAGGGGGACTCAGGGTAGGCAGGATGGTCGACGGTAATGAGGACGTTGCCGGAATCGGGTGGGAGAGAGTGTCACAAGGAAAGTGCTCTATCTCACATCAGACAGAACGGGAGATCTTGGGCTCTTTATAAGCGGGCGTGCTGCACACCCCTATAAGCGCGTTTATGGGAGAGAGAGTAATGACCCCGTGACACATGTCCCTAGCACGCATGGTTACACGCGCCGTTGTCATTGTCAAGTATAATATGATATTCCACGTGACATGCTGGAAATAATTGGCTTCTCCCCTACAATTAACAAAGTCCTCGATGACTGGAATTACACCTCGCAAAAAATAAAAGTAAAATTTTTTTATTAAGCTTAAAATATAAAATATTTTTAAAAATAATTTTTTAAATAATTTTAACTATATTATATCAAAAAAAGAGATTTTATGAAAAATATTTTTAATGAGACATCTTTATTAACGTGCATTCTTATACACGCACGTATTGAGTAAAATAAATCTATACAAAATTTGTTTTTTTTTATTTTGTGTAAAATATCTACTTTTTGTTTTGATAAGCTTGTGCAAAACAAAATCATATTGTAGGAAATGATTTTTTAAATATTTCGAACATTGCATTCAAATAATACCAGAAAGGTGATATTAAACCAAACGAGGAATCGGTCTTGATGAATCCAAAGCTTTGAGAATGATGTGAAACCATAAATCCCTGGTGAATCGAAGGGAGGAAAATGTGAATCCAAAGCATGAAATGGTCGTGCTATAATAGGGATTAGAGTTTGTGAAACGCCATGATGGGAATGTGTGACAAGTCATGGTGAGAATATGTGACATGGTTGTCACACGATAGCGTTTAGAGTTTGTGACACTCCATAGCGAGAATATGTGACACAGTAGGGTGAGAATATGTGACACGACTTGAAGGAAATAGGTGAGACGACATGGTAAGAATATGCGACATGCCAGTGTGAGAAAGTGACACACCATGGTGAAAATATGTGAGATGGCATTATGAGTATATGTGACACAGTAGGGTTTAGAGTTTGTGGCACACCATAGAGGGAATCTGTGACACGATAGTATGAAAATATGTGACATGACAGGGTTTAAAGTTTGTGACATGCTATGGTGAGAATCTGTGACACGAAATGTTGAAATCGTGTGAGACGATATTTTAAGAATGTGTACCACGGCATGGTGAGCATATATGTGACACACTATGGCTTGAATATGTTGCACGCCATGGTTTGAAATACAAAAAAATACGGACAAATAACAAGGAAATTGTTTGAACTTCTATTGAATAAATATTATAAGGTCATATCATTTTATTATATATGTTTCAGAATATGCAAACGTCTGTGTGAAGGAACTAAGAGAGTTTAATCCATTCCTCATTCCCAAAGGAACCAGAGTGTTCGACTTCGTTCTTTGCAAGCTTAATGACAACACATCGACAATGTTAGTTTTCAATGAAGTGGTTAGTTAGTCTCAAATTAAAATTTTTTTCTATTAGTTCATTTTTTTGCTGGCTTGTTATGTTCGTGTTTTTGCATTTGTTATGTTTTAACTGTTTTCTTCTTGGTTTTATGGTTTTTGGGTAAATTGTGGAGAGAGAGAACTATAATATTTTTTTCATTGACATGGTTTAGGTTCGTACCAAAGTTTTGAAGGGGGTCTGTGTCTGCATATGGCGTAACACGAATTATAACATTTGATTTGACATATAATGGGTTAATTAGTTTTTGGGGTTTTTAGCTTATTTTTTAGGGTTTTAGTGTGTCACCACATTTGGGTATTTTAGGGCAATTTGTGTAACAAGTCAATAATTATAGTGATTGGCGTGTCACGACATGGCATGGTTGGCATGTCACCACATTGGATATTTTAGGACAATTCATGTAACAAGACAACAATTCTAGTGATTGATGTGTCATGACATGCCTCAGTGTTGACATGTAACAATATTTGACTCGGTATGCTTCGCGTGTAACAATGTTTGACTTGGTATGATTAGCGCGTAACAACATTTTACTTAGTATGTATAGCATGTAACAACAATTTACTTGGTATGCATAGCGTGTAACAATATTTATTTCTTTCTTCAATATACTGTGTTGCACATTGTGGGTTAACTCACACATGCATATGTGTCATATTTTGTAGATGTAGTTTAGACAGTATGGTGATATTGACAGTTTGCTTGTTGCGCTGAAAAAGAAGTAGGCGTTCAAAGTCTCCATTAACACCCATTGTAAATGGTTGCAACTGCATTACATCAATAAGACTCTCCAAAAGAGAAGGGAGTGCGATACAATTAAACATACGTGCTTAAAAATAATATTGGACGTATATCCACAAGTCTACTTTTGCGTTAGTCTCCAACAGAACATCATGGTTTGTCAAATCACTGAGATAGAGTCAATGAACCGTGAGTTATGGTTTGTCATTAGCAAGAGAAAGGCACGTATATCAAAGTAAGAGTTCTGCTTTATCACCGGACTCAAGTTTGGCCTAATTCTCTATGTATTCACACAACCATACGAGGTTGTTCCTGACAAAATTCATGCAAGATACTGGAATAGGTAGTAAAGTGTTAAGCTATAAGCATTGCTTGATATGTTTTGAGGAGGTAACTTTCAGCGACCAAGACATGCAACCAAGGTGGCATTCATCTTAATCACATATAACATTTTATTTGGTCATGACTACCGTATACAGGTGACGCCTTGGCTCTTGTATTTTAGTGGACATCAATGCTTGGAATGTTTTCCCCTTGGGTTACTATGTTTGGAGGCTGACCGAGAACTACCTATTGAAGGGGTTCGAAGTGCCTGCCCCAAACCTGCAAAAGGATAATCGTTTATGCCACAACATTTATGGATTCACATAGGTGATACAAGTACTATCACGTAACATTTTTCAATTTATTTTTAACATAATAATTTATGGTTGCACTCATTTATCATTTATGGTTTGATAATGGTTACATTTGACTTGTAGTGTTGGGCAATGGAGGTGATTCCTGCCTTCCGAAAATAGTTACCCCCTCTGCTACAAAAAACAATGTCTACCCACGTATGTGTAAATGGCAATGCAATCAGAAGTGGAAAATCTTCTATAATGCGACTGAGAAGTTAACGTCATCTCAGCATATGAGTGAACAAGTACTAATTTATGCTATAATAATTATCATAACATTTAATTAAAATACCCTTTTTATAGTTGTGGGCACTCAAAATCTTGGAGCCTACCCCGAATGAGGCCACACCGGAGTATTTGAGGGACATCAATGTCGCTTTATCTGAAAGGCACCAATACGTGCCAATATGGCACATGGAGGATTAAAACGGACTGGGGTTTATGTGCAAGGGAAAAGAGGAGAAACCTGAAGGAGAAAAGAGTTGTTGGTCTTATTAAGTGGAGGCGCACCATCGCTTCTGAAACAATAAGCTGTCGGGCCCTAAGTTGATGGAAGAAGGGAACGACCATGGCAATGTCAATGAACAGCCAGTAAAGACGATTCTAACAATTTGTGTTCAACAATTCCATATGTGATTATCAAATAACATAGTAATATCTATATTTGCAGTTAACCTATCCGACAATAGCTTTTCAACTACCGAGAGGTCCTACTCAAACTTATAGTGCTAACGAGCCACCGATGAGAATAGTTCTAACGTTTTGTGTTCAACATTTCCATACATATTTGTTGAATAACACAATAATTTTTGTTATTGTAGTTGATGGAGGTGACGATTGTTCCTCAACCATCGATTGGTCTTACTCAACCATACGGTGCTAACAAGCCATCGGTAAGAACGATTCTAAGAGGTTGTGTTCAACATTTCCACATGTATGTCGAATAACACAGTAATTTCTGTTATTACAATTGACGGAGGTGACAATAGCTCCTAAACCACTGAATGGTCCTGCTTGGCAGCACAATGCTAACGAGCCATTGGTAAGGATGTTAAAGTTCTAATGGTTTATGTTCAACAATTTCATATATGATTATTGAATAACACAATAATATATGTTATTATAGTTGACCCATTCGAAGAGAGTGAATGATGGTATAGTCACCAAACATCAATTGCGACGGATCATGCGCAAGCATAAAAAAGTCATGTTGGAGCTGAAGGCTTCAATTCAGTCATTAACTTTAGCAATGTAGACCTTTAAGGATCATATTGTTAGTCAAATTCTAGACGACATGAAATTACAAGTACATTATTTTATCTTCGCTCATATATTGCTGGTTTACGTTTAACAGGTGTAGTCTTATTTTTTATTTTTAGTTAATGGTTTATGGTATTTTATGAGTTAACAGATTTTTTCATTTGTCTTATTCTATAGGGCGGTGCTTCATTTCACCATGACGGTAAGCACCACGATGATGTTGATGATGGGCAGTATGGTGAACCTAGTGTTCACATTCACCATGACGTTGTTGGTGCTGATGGAGAGAATGTAACTCATGTCGATGACATTCTCGATGATGTTGTGGCAGGGGATGTGACTTTTCAATCAGTTGATGCTAAAAGAGACCATGTTTCTCATGCCGATGTGGTTGTCTATGCTTCTGCTGGAGGGGAAGGGGACCTTCACTCAGTTGAGGCTGAAAAAAACCATGTTCCTCAAGTCGATACAGTAGTGGAAGCATCTGCGAGAAGGGATGGGAACCTTGCATCAGTTTAGGCTAAAGGGGACCATGTTGTTCAAAGCACTCCTGAAGGTAGTGCGTCACGGTTGTCGTCTCCAGAGTTGTCAGATGTCCATCATTGTGAAGCACTCATTTTAGACCCAAATGAAGGGGCACGGGTC